TGTTGAGTGTCCGAGTATAGTATCCTTATGTTTGTCCGCTACACCGGTATCCAGACGTTGTCGTCAAATACCATATGCAAGCGTAATGGAACGACGTTGTTCAAAGCTCTAAAATCCGTTACAAATCGAAAGGTGTCGTCCTTTTTAGTTACAAGGACTACTGGGCTATTGAAACATGAAGTGGATCTTTCAATTATGCCTTGCTTAAGAAGTTCTTCTACCTGTCTCTCTACTTCATCTCTCTTTCTCAACGGAATTCTCGTTACCCTAGGTTTGGGTAGATCTAAATCGGTCCTGAGGGGTATGGAATGTTCAATAGGACCTGTGAAGAGACCGATCTTTCTATCTTCGTTCAAAAAGGCTTCCTTGTTATTCAAAATTATTGCTTTAAGCTCTCTTTCTTGAGCTGGCTTAAGGTCGGAGCCTGTGAGATTAAGTTCTTCCATGAAATTGGAAGGAAAATTAGGGAGTTTTGCTTCCCAATCTGTCTCGGGTGGTATATAAGATCGGTCTGTTGATTCAGGAGTTATGAGAGATGGTGAAGCCATTCTGACTACTGTGGCTTTCCCTAGAATTTGGTGTGGTCTAACAGTAATAGGTTCATCAGTATTATTTATAAACGTAATTTGCACCGTTCTGAGATTTCTAAAGGCGGTGTCATGACATGAAATATCGGAGTCTTCATGAGATTCCATGAATGCGTACTCGTCATTTTCGAGATTTTCGTTGGTTGTCAAAGTAAGGTTTGTGCGAGAGTAAGGATGGAGTGTTCTATGTTTAAGATTGACGATGTTAATGTACTTATTTGTACGCTTAAGCAAAGAATTTTTGGTATTATAGAGAGGAAGTTCCTTATAACCTACTTCAAGAACTTTTCTGGAAGGTTTCAAGCTAACATGAATGTTGAGCCTGTCCATATTTTCCATGAAGTCCATGCCTAATAAACCTGGGGCTGGGCAATCTTCGTCTTCGGATATCAAGAAGCTATGTGGTACCTTGTAATCTCCAATTTCTACTACCATATCTACTTTTCCTATGAAAGAAAAGACGGAACCGTTGGCTGTTGCAGCCGAACTGGTATACGAAGTGTATGGTAGTCCGAGATATTCAACGGTGGAGAGTTTTACATAAGATACTGATGCTCCAGAGTCCCATAAGGCTAACAAAAGTTTGTTCTCTACTATTACATACAAATGGGGGAGCTGAGAAACTCCTATTTTGTTGATTCTAATAGCAGAAACTAAAGGTAAAGCGATAGGTAATAGGCTAAGCATGGTGGGATAGTATTTCTTCATGATTATCTGTGGGATTTCCTGATCAGGGTCAGATACTATATCCCTGATCTCGTCGTATGACGGAGGACATGAAGGAATGGATGATGTAATGAGAGAAGCAGGATGTGAGTAAGAATGTTCGTCAGATAACTCGCTATTGACGTTCATGATTGGGAAAGGAATACGAACTTTAGTGTAACTTTTGACAATTAAGATGATGAAGAAAAGTGAGACTACAAGCATTGCTACTATGCCGATGGCGATTAGTGTTTTCTCGATCGAACCTAGGATGTAATTTTTAATTTCCATCCATGTACCTTTGGCTACTTTTTCCGCCTCAGCGAGGTAGTATGTTCCCTTTTCCAACATTTGGATCGGGGTAGGTAGCTGATGGAGTGAGTGTACTACTTGAAACACTTGGTTTTGGCGGATGGTTGCCAAACTCACTCCATATGCGATAGCGGTGGCTATGCTAGATGTTCGTGTGGAGAAATTAGAGTAGAGGTTAGCACCTGTGAACTTTATAGGTGTGACTTTTGAATGATGTAACCCTTCAATAAGCGAAATAGGGCTAACTTCTACTGTGCCGTTCAGTCCCTTCCACTCTCCGTTCTCTGACCAAATGTCAGTAGGTACCTGATCGCAAGAGATCCGTTTTCCCGCTGGGAGAAGGTCCTCTGTGCCGGGAGCGGCAAACAAGAGTTGTCCTTCTTCCGTTAAGACGGGTGTCTCGAGGTAGCAGGTGCCGTTTACGGTGTGATTTCGGAACTGGGCAGTAACAATGACGGATGTACAAGCGTGGATATGAAGAACTTCTGAACCTACGAAACGGGCTGAGATATCTTCTCGACCTAAGATGGTCCTCATAGCTACGGTTGGTTCTATGTGCAAAATTGATCTCCAGAGCTCAAGATATTTGTTTTGAATCTCGCAGATGTTTTCAAGCGAGTCAGCGAAATGAGCAATGAGATCTTCTTGATGTATCTCAGTAGCATATTGAAGATGATCTTGAGAGATTCTCAGAGTGATGTTTTTGTTAAACTCATCTTCCAGTGTTAGCTTTTTGGCTATGAAATTTGAATGAGTTTTCTCGGAATCTTGTGCAAAAGTTACTGGAGGAGAGGAGGTTCTCAATGTTCTTATATGAGGAATCACAGGAGAGGGTGTTGTAGATGATGGAGAAGGAGAAGCAGTGGATGATGAAATATGATCAAAAAGTGATTCAGAAGAGTTATGAAGATATGAAGGATAAAACCCTTCTGATGAAAAGTTTGTAGATACGTTAAACAGAAAATGATTAAGATTAAGTATATCGTTACCGGTATGCAACTCCTTGGTTTCCGCGAATTCAGTAAAAATAGACTCATTAAGTGAGCTAGGATTAGGGTTGATGATTGCTAGCAGAGTTAATAGTGCGAAAGGCATTTCTGTCGTTTGTGGATCAGAATGATTTTCCAAGACTTTTGAGGGGGTGGGATTAATTTCAGGAATTTCGGTTCTTAAACTTATTTTCGCAGAATTTGAAAAAATGCGTTTTCCTGATGGTTTCATGTCTTTATCTGCCAGCAACTGTTCAAAAGTAGAAACTAGAGATTCTTTCGAAAATGTTGTAATGGATGTTTTATCTGAACCTACTTCCGGTTTCATACCGTAGTTTGTGCTTGAATCAAATCTTAAAACTTGAAAATCGGGGATATCAAGGGTTGGAACTGGTAGATGTTTGAATTCAAAGTCATCCTTAGATGCTAGTATGCTATTATATCTCTCAAACTTTAACTTTCTCAATTTCAACAGTAATCCTTTTGATTCTTCAATTAGGTCTTTTATCATATCCGGGGTTCTTGGGTCAATAAGTGGTAGACTAGAATTCATAAAAGCTTTCAAAACTTGGTTTCTGGATGGTACCAAAAGAATATTGTTTTTGAAAGTTGGTGTAAACATTAGATTCTTAGCTATAACCTCAGCTCGTTCTCGATAGTTGAATCCTTCAACTTGCAAAAGTTGTTGATCGAATTCCTCAACTGTTAGCCTATCCGAAATTTGTTCTAACAGTTGTTTATCCGTCAAATACTTGATCACAGCTTTTGATGCTATTGTGATCTCTTTTTGAGCTAACAGCTGTAAGATAGCTTCGTTTGCGTCGTTATACGGATAATGAGAAAGAAACGATATCAAGCCATTGTCTGTTATGCCTGATTGAAAGAAAAATTTGAATTTATCGATATGAGCTGTAGCATAATTTGCTATGGTATATTCTGAATTTAGTAATCGGCGAGCTTTAAGTTTCCAATAGATTTCGGCTGTACTTGGATTTGCCATAGTGGGTCTCAAAAATGGGTATGGACAGACATTCAAAGATGTAGTTTCGAAATCATCCTGTTGTCTAGCCCATAATTCGTTAACTGGGAAACTACAGTTTTTGGTAACTGCTCGTTTTGTTCTTTTTATCGGAATTTTCTTGAACTCTCGTTCTATCAGGGTGTGAATGTTTGTATCGTTAGGGAACTTAGGAAGTGTAATGTAGTTACCTGTGGTGGTTTCAAAAACAGGGAACTCAAAACACGTACGAATAGCTTTTGGAATAGTAATGTTTTTAATAACAAGAGCTGTCTGAGTACTGGGAATGATAACAACATCATCGCCAATTGTAGCGTCGTATTGTTCCATGTCGATGTATTCGCATCGTTTGTCGGAGGATTGAGGATCCCAGACAAGCATGGATGTATTCGACTTACAATTACCGTGATGAGCTAAGCATCCGTCAGTATTCAAAATAAGATCTGATAGTATAGAATCATCGGGCATACGAGTCATTATTCCTCTTTCCAAAATCAATCTGGTTTTCTCTACGCATTCGTTTCTGTGGAAAGTTCTAGGTGGGTCATAAAATGGATGAGCACTCACATACGTCTTAGGGGCTACGGTAGTTAGGGCAGTGCCTTCCCAACTCCGTTCTTTGATCACTTCTCTACATTCTTGGGGTGTAATAGGTGGGCTAATAGTGATGGTTCTATTAATGTCTCTAAGGAAAAGAATTTCTCGCAAACATATTTTGTGTACCTCTTTGGTACATCTATAAGCTTCCCACTCATGTGCTGTTATATTACGAGTGTAAAGGTGAATTTTTGTTTTAATCACATGTTTGGGCTCTTTCATATTACACTTTCTTAGCTTAGGGGGAATCAAGAGTACGCCACCTTTTGCTTTTGTGCAAAGTTGGTAGCTTTCGGTTGGTGAAATGAAGAAACAAAATATGGATAAAGCAATAGTGAGAGTGAGCGGTGATATTAAAGCATTTACTCTTCTTCCTCTACTAGGAAAGTTCTCTCGTCTTTGATTGTTATCATTCTCTCCCTGATAATCAAATCTATTGTCTCTTTCGTTCTGATAATTTCTATTAGGATTTGCTTGGCTTTGATAGTTTTGGTTATAGGGTCTTGAATTATTTGCCGAATATGGTCTTGACTTATTTGCAGAATAGGGTCTTGGATTATAGTTTTGGTTTTTATTCCAAGGTCTTGAAAGATTGTTTCTATGCCTATTAGGCTGATAGTTAGTTGCGTTTCTGCGTGGGAATGGATTTCTATCCCTTTGTGCGAAAGTTTTAGCAAAAGGTGCGAGAGCGCTGTTGACTGCGTTTACCGAAAGGTTTTGCGTGTCATCTGTCTGTTTTGAAACGGTTTCCTCTAATTTAGCCGCTTTAATGGCTTCTTTAAACGTTTTAGCTTCGCTTCTCAAAACTGCTTGCTTAAGGTTGTTACGCAGGCCTCT